AGCTTCAGATAGTTCCGTGGGTGCGTTGGCTAGTCTGCAATTCTGCTAACCGAAATCTCCTGCCCTTGGATCAGGATATCACAAAGAGTCCCTCGTTCTCTGCTCAGGTCTTGCCGGTTCTTTCGAAGCAATGGGAGTATCTAAGCCAGACAGCGAAACAATCAGTGATCACTCAGTTACAAGCACATACTGTGATACCGACTAAACTAGGGATGAAGATGCCTCCCGAGACCTATTTCTCTTCTGTCCGCTTGTTTGATGACCTTCCCGTCATACATGGCCTAAATGGAGTTAAAGAGAAATTTCTGGCAGCGCTTGGCGTTCGTAAGACTGTCGAACTCGGTGTCATCTTCGAGCGTCTTCTCGATACCACGGAAGCACCCGATGGTCCTAACAATAACCAGAGGAAATGGAGTCACGTCGACTTGATACGATATCTAGCTTCCGTGCGCGATGATATTCCTGCGAATGATATCAAACGACTCAAAAACACCAGCTTATGCACTGCCGAACAGATTGACGGCAGTGGAAATGGTGATCTTAAAGCAGCGAATCGCAAGCGCTATAAGATATTTGAGTTGTTCGAACCGAAGGACTCGCTCAGGGCACTGGGTTTGCCTATCATTGAATGGCCAGGTCGGTATCAGCCCAGTAGCAACGAAGGAAGGTTTCTGTCAATGTTGGGACTCAGGAGTTTCCCGTCAGCGTCTGAGCTTATCCAAATCATGGCTAAGGCAGCCGCGGATGGTAATTGGGTTCTCCATACAAAAGCGATGTCATACTACATCGCCGAGTTTCATACAAGTGGCTATGCGATGTTCGACTGCGGTACAGTGGCTGTTGCGTTCTTGCCCGTCGAAGGATCGCAGGGTTTGACTGTTCCGAGTAAGTGCTTCACTGATGATGGTGCCACCTTGTTTGGGTTCGCAATCCTTCGCACGGATCTGCATCCTCATGCTTCCAAGTTTGGGGTTAAACAACATCCCGCACTGAGCGAATGCATCGATTGCCTCATGCGTCAGCCACCGTCCACGGAGCGTGACGCAAGGGTCGTCTTCAAGTATCTAGCCGGGCGGGTGTCAGAACTGAGTGGGCGGGATATAGATCGTGTTGGCGGTGCGCAGGTAGTCCCCGTCTCGACTACGCAAGATGAGATGGAAAAGAAAGTTGTGCATCGTGTAGCACCCAGACTTTGTTATCTTGGTGACGGTGAGGATTACAAAGACATTTTCGATTTCGTCGACTTTGGTCAAGAGGCGAACCTTTTTCTCATGGCCGTCGGATCCAAACGTGAGCCCACTAAGGTGGAGATTGCACGCATGCTTGTAAAAGAACCAGCAAGGATATCAGCCTCTTTCCAAAGTGCTGACAAATATCTCAAACTGCTGAGGACACTTGCCGAGCATGTCTCAACCTTGAAGAAGGACCGCGAACTGTTTCAGGAAATGAAGAGGTCGGCCTTCCTGCTCGCAAGCAGGGATATCACTTCCCTGGCACAGGAGCAAGCTGCCAAGGATGATCACCTGTCTGACGATGAGGAGGAAGATCAAAGCATTAAGGAATGGACTTTGACTGTTGCGAAGGACGCAGTCGTGGTGGATGATTTCCAGAGCTTCAATCTTTTCAAGGAGCATATACTCGCAGCGCCTCAGGAAGAAATGCTAGAGAACTTCTATCAGTCTCTGGGGGCTCAACCGCTGAGCGGCCTTGTCGAAGAGCGTGCTCACTGGGGCGCTGTAGCTGCTGACCAACGTCCAGCCGCCAAGTTGCAAAAGCTGATCAGTGAACGCTCGCGGCTGTTCTTACATGACCAGACTCCTGATCTGATCCGGCATGATGTGCGGTGGCTAGAGAAGCATTTGCAAGTGCAGGTGGTGCATTCCATCTCCCTAACTCGCTCTCTCAAAGGTCGTCGGATATCCCACACGCAAAAACGAAGCGCAATCATCACTCAACAGGGAAGAGACTGGCTCTTGTGGATCTGCCCGGGCAAGTATGATCTTTACGAGATCAGCCAGGCTCTGGTCCACCTAATCCTTGTTCGGCCGAAGCTCCATTCAACCCTTACCTTGGAGATGCTGCTAAAGACTGATCTGCTGGAACTCAAGGCTCGCGGGTACAACGTGGAGCGTATCCTTAAACAAAAGGCACACGAAGCCAGGATGGCAGAGGACAGGCGGCAGAAGCAGTTGGAAGAAGAGCGTCAACGTCTGCAAGAGAGAGAAGCTGCGTGGGCCAAGGAACAAGCTCAGATACAAGCACAACCTCATCAAGTTCAAGACGAGCGAGAGCAGTTAATGCCGGGAGACTTCCCTGACTCGCCGTCGGGCAAGAACAGCACCCGTGACATCCAGCCGGAAACACCTGACCAAACCCAAGATCGCCGACCACGCGGGTTCTTCGCCAACCTCTCCAAGCGATTTGGGCTCGAGGGCAATCGATCGCCCTTCAATGCTGTCAACGGAGAGTCATCTCAGCCCTCCCGTTCTGAATCCTCAGAGACTGCCACCCCTCCCCCGCCTTACTCTGCTGAAGATCCTCAGCAGAAGACTCGCTCGGAAGCTCCTGTCACTGTCAATTCACCCCATCGACTTCAGTCGGAGCTGCTCTCCGCCATCCAGGCGTGTCGGCCCCATGGGTCTTCTGATGTTTATAGCCGGCCTGAGACGAACCAGATCACCGAGAAGAAGTCCTACTGTGACGAAAAGCCCAGTCATGATCTAGAGTTTGTCGCAACACTTGCCTGTGGGATTCACGTATTGTTTGTGAAGAACCTCCCGGATCGCAGTCAATTCTTAGCCAAGAATAGCGTCGGCATTAATGTCTTTGCTTCGATGTTAATGGATTGTGCTGGGGTATTCTCGCTCCGGTCAGACATCCTCAGTATCTTCTATGATCCTGGGGGCAAAACGATCGCCTTTAACCGGGCGGGCAGTGTATTCTGCAATTACTTCTACTTCCAACAGCTTCACGAGAAGCAACTGCTTGCAAACCCGACTGCCGACCGAGCGGATGCACTTGTATACTGGTGGGTGATCCTATGCCACGAACTGGCCCATAACCTGGTGGGAGACCATAGCTCTGCCCACAGTTACTATACGTAAGTTTGCTCCCGCAATAGCCTCGTTTATTTTAGTTGCTCTTGATAACATGGCTTACAATGTTTCTAGCGAAAGCTTTGTTGCGCAATATTTCCCCAAGATAACAGCCAAGCTCGCGAGCGCAGGTAGAGCTGCTCCAGAACCGAGTGGCTAGTCCAGCAACGTGTTCGGATTTGGATAGGATTTATTGTAAATCAATCTAATTACAGACGGCCAGGCGCCGACATGTACATATTACGAGACAGCTAGTCGCTCTAATCTTTCATCAAATTTCTGTCAGTGTGTACTCTGTAGTGTCCCAACCGTTCCATTCTGGCTATAGCCAGTGATGCAAACCGGACAAACACCGGCATTACCTCCGCGGAGAGATGCGCGGGCCTTCGATCTTCTTGATCTCTCCAGAACTCCCAATTCAGCTGCGTCATCTCTACTGTAGCAATCTCTGCCGATTTTCAAAGCGAGAAACATTTTTCAGACGGCGATCTCATGGCGGGCACACCCGATGCCTCCATGGAGGAAATCCTCTGGCGGTCCCCGCCCCACGTCCAGATGATGGGAGGATACCTCCACTCCAACAACAGTACGAAATTCAGAACCCATTAACGATTAAAACGGCCTACTAATACTCTTAATGTGTGCGCAGTTCTTTTCTACTTTGCAGAGTCGCCATTCTTTGACCCAACATCCAACAACGCCTCACTTGCCATCCAAGCAAACTACAATGAAGCTTTCCGGCACTTTGTCGAGACGCGCGAGGCCTTCGAGGGCCGGTTAAAGACTATGCAGGGCTTGGAGTTCGTGGTTTCATATGATCCCATCCAGGCAGCAGCACAACCTGATGGTCGATTTGCGCACGAGCCGTCAAACATATGGGTGATTCGCAAGCAGAACCGGCGCAAGAGGACCGGCCTAGAAGATGAGGTGGTAGTTTTATCAACGTACTTTATCGTCGGAGACTGCATCTACATGGCCCCCTCGGTTGCGAGTGTTGTGGGGAACCGCATCGTACGTCAATTCTTTCCTGTGACTTTGCTTCCTAGACATTCTCTATTGCTGATGCTAACTCCGACTTCTTGCGCAGCTGTCCGCAGTTACGTCTCTCACCAGCTTGCTAAAGACAGCATCTACACTACCTACCTTCACCCCGTCCCACGGCCATACCTACATGCCGCCTGCGCTCAAACAAGCCGATGCGAGTCAACCTGGCACGCAGTCGCAGCAGAGCAAGGAGAACACCCCATTACCGGACGCCGATGCAGCTGGCAAGGCCTCGCTCGTTGGCTCTTCACAGGTTGTCGGCACTGGTTCTAGCCTGCAAGACACACGGACACTCGCGGAGTCATTCAACCTGCTCCGAAGGTATGGGGAGGAGTTTATGGACGAGCATCCGTTGGTGGGAGAGCCGGGATCGTTCATCCTATCCCGTGTCAATGACACAGACCGAACATCAGCAGGGAAACCACCAGCCCCTGCCGCGAAGGTTGGAACGCCGCAGGTCCGGGTTGATACGCCAGGGAAGGTATCAGAGAAGGGGGCGACGCCATCAGGATCCGAAGAGAATAAGATGCGGAAGAAGAAAGCAAAGGTTGGCAGTTGAAGTGGAAGGACAGAATAATGATACCCTAATGATCATGAGAGCAGGATTCTCTCATCCCGATTCCATTCTAGACATGGATAGCTAGATCTCTTAACCGATCTACAAGTGCAGCTGGCTATTGCCATCAGCTCCTTCTTTTTCCAGCTTATCTCTATAGACCTTTTTCTGTAACCAAGCAAGGACAGCAAAGCAACCCCGCACGGCCACCCAATCCAATCCCAGTGCCAGTCAAGTATCTCTGACTCATATCACATCCTCAATGCAAACTTTCCTTTTTACTCGCATGCTTTTAAAATCCAGCTGAGATTTCCATCCCTATCATGACTACTACCGCCACTTTATCCCCAGTGTTTTGTGCAGTCTGTCCGCATTCGGATCCAGAACCGCAGCTTCAAGAAATCGGTTACATCACTGCACCGACATCTTAAACCGTTGAGCTCGGGGCAAACCCCCCATTGAACTTCTCCTCTTCATTCTGAAAAAGAGACAAGAGCGAGTTTGTGTCTTCTTCATCAGTAGCAAGTAGTTTCAACAAATTCAACGATATCATGAGCTCCGTGAATGGGACTAAGCCCGCAGTGGTCTGCGTATTGTAAGTCACCAATATATCATATCATTTTATATACTTAGTATCTCGTTCCCCTCACACCGCACTCATACTTATACTTAAAATCCACACCATCACCACCACCACGCACCAACATAATAATCTATCAAACTAACAAACCCAATATCAGCTGCGGCTCCGTCTCCGGCACCAACCCACGCCACATGGAAGCCGCACGCCAACTCGCGCACGAATTCCACATGAACAACATCCACCTGGTGTACGGCGGCGGCACAGCAGGTCTAATGGGCACGATAGCCCGTGAACTGGTCAAACTCTCCGGCCCGCAAGCCGTGCACGGCGTGATCCCGCGCGCATTAGTAAAGGTAGAACCGGGGTACGACAATGCAACGGAGCATCCCGCAGACACAGACCCAAATGCAGGAGTCCAGCAAGCGCGGTCCGGCAAGGACGCGGAGAGAATCATCCCAGCCGCTAGTACTACTACCACTACCAATGGCACTACTACGAAGACAAAGGAGTCTATGTTCAAGGAATCCGAGTACGGGACGACCACGATCGTGGCGGATATGCATGCGCGAAAGCGGCTTATGGCGACTAAGGTGCAGGAGGGAGGGCCTGGGAGTGGGTTTGTGGCGTTGGCCGGGGGGTTCGGGACGATTGAGGAGGTGATGGAGATGACGACGTGGAATCAGTTGGGGATTCATGGGGCTGGGGTGGTGGTGGTTAATGTGGATGGGTATTGGGATGGGGTTTTAGCGTGGGTGAGGAAGGCCGTGCAGGAGGGGTATATTGGGGAGGAGAATGGGGGGATTCTCGTCGAGGTGAATGATGTTAAGGATGTTTGGCCAATGTTGAAGGGATATAGGGTTAGTAATGGGAGGATGAGGTTAAATTGGGGGGAGGAATAGGCGATATCTAATTAGTAGTTAGTAGCAAGGTTAGTTGTAGATGTGGTCGAGCCGAGTTAGGTTTTATATATAGATGGTATCAGGTGTGGGAAACGTAATATTATTCCGGAATCGTGACTATCAAATCAATGATGTATCTGTTGCATCTTGCTGCTCCTATGAATCAACCTCCATCGTCTCCTCTTCTTTCGTCTCGCCCGCATCCGCCTGCTCCAGTGCCTCCAGCAGGGGCACCAGCTGCTGCCCCTCGTACAGCTTGAAGCTCTCGATCTTCCCCGAGGCACCATCGCCCGCAAGCCCCACCACACCCACGGATGTGTTGTCCACCGTCAGCTCCTTGTCCTGAGACAGGGACTCCTTGAGTGCCCGCAGGCCGTGCGTGATAAGCTCATCGCGCGACGTGGACTCCAGCTTGTCCAGGTTCCGCTCCAGGTAGGTCCGAGCCATTTGGGAGCGGGCTCCGATGGCGCATGCCACCATCTCGTGGGTCATACCGGAGGGTTGGAATTCGAAAAGGTGCGGGCCGGAGTCGTCGACACCGGCGACAAGCAGACCGACACCGTAGGGGCGCTTGCCGTAATGTTGAGTGTTCGTTTGGGCGCGGTCGCCGATCTGACTGACAATGCGGTCGACGGGGAGCGGGCGGCCGTAGGTCATGCGGGAGCTGAGAGACTGCTGCTTCATGAAGTTGGAGAGCACCCGAGCGTCCGATGCCAGACCGGCGATGGCGATGCCCATGTGGGAGTCGACTTCGATGATCTTCTTCTGGTACGAGGAGAGCTCTTCGGCATTACGCTGGAGATTTTCCTGTCAGCTGGATGTGCCCCGAGAGAAAAGAGCCAGGAGATAAGTGGGATGTCGAACCTTGAGGCCGACCAGCACGGCATGTGTCTTGTTGACAAGTCCCACCACGACGGAACCTTGCTTCACGGCTTCTTGTGCATATTCGACTTGGAAGATCCGGCCTTGCGGGGAGCTTTAAAGAGCTTCATTAGTAATCCTAAAATACTAGGGAAGACAAAGCTTTGTTCTGGTGGATGAGGGAGCTTGGGGAGATCCATACAAGGTGACCGCATCGTTGTCGTAGTTGTTTCTGAACATGGCGGAAGCTTGGGTAGGAGAGACTCGGAAGGGGGATGAATAGGGGTCTCTGTCAGTTCAATGGAAGAGACCAGATAGTATATTGAGTCTCAACGGGGGGAATAGAGGAATCAAGGCGATGAAGTAGGGAGCAGGAGTGGATGGGAGAGAGATATGGAGCTGGAGGGCAGGCAGAGAAGCACTGACGCGGTAGTACTGAGAGTAACTCATGCTTAAGGCTAAGCTCTCACTGCTTGGCTGTTCCGCTGCCTCAGGCCGCCCGCCCCATCATCCACTTCCGCTGCACGTCACTGCCTTCCATCCATTCATTCCATTCCAATCTCCTGCTTCATCCAGGCTCTGGCCGTCCTCGGTTTGCGGTGCTCCTCTCGTCCCCATTCCGTCTTAATACCCATGCTATTTTGACTCTGCTATATTTTCCACAAGCTTTACTAGTCAAGCTTCGTTGGTGCGAAGCTCCTCCCACTTCTGCCTGTTGTCCTGGACCTGAACGGTCCTACTCCGCAATCATGACCGCCGGACTCAAGACGATCATCGCCCTCTCCTTTGTATGTCTCCTTGGGAGCTAGAATGAAGCTTCTTTACTTCTGCTGCTTTGGACTCTTGCTAATTGTTATCCCGGCATAGGTTCTCGCCATTGGCTTCCTGCTTGTTATCCTGTCATCGGCGCTCTGGCACAACTTCCTCCCACTGGTCGTCGTTGCGACTTACGTGGTTGCTCCCCTGCCCAACTGGATCTGCTCGCGATGCGCAAACCCCGATGACTTTATGGACAGCTCTGGCAATGCTGCTGCTGATTTTGGTCGTTTCCTGACGGGCTTCCTGGTGCTGATGGGTATTGGTGAGTGGATTTCTCGGATAGGCGGGCTAGGTCGGCGGTCGCATTTATCCCTACCATTGAAAGCGACTGCAGACTGTGCTGCGACTGGAGATATATGCCATTGTTTCTTCCTGACTCTCTCGATCCATGGCTGACCATAATCGCTTCACTAGCCCTCCCCGCCGTTCTTGCGCACAGCGGCGCTATCGAGATCCCCGCCATGATCATGTCCATCATTGGCGGTCTGTTGATCTACGGAACCATCATCAGTTTCTCCATGTTCTTCAGGGAACAGGAAGACTTTTAAATTGCCATGCGCACCGATATCTGCAAGACCAGATTTCGCATTGGATACCCGCTCGCAGATTGTTGATCGACCTTTTGAAGCAAGCCGCCTTCCATGTTCTTGACCAATGCACCTTTATGAGACATCGTTTTGATTTGACGTATGCTAGGCGTACTGATGTGCTTTTTGATGCCCCGGGAGTCGCTGTTGATTTTACTCTCGTTGTTCAATGATACGATTGATGTACTATAGCCAGTACGAGGTTATATAGAAACTCTGCCAGTGCAGTGTGATACATTCCTTTATCCAGATGTATAAACCCATACCTCCATCTCCTTCACTTTATCTTTGGAGATGCCGATGTCTTCCGCTCTGTAATTGTGCCTAGATACCGGTCACGTGGGGGCGCGCCGCCTTGGGCGCGTCGTGTAAAATTACCCGCGCCGACTGGTGAGTGAACATCCAACAATGATCTGATAACATCATCACAAGTACGAGTAATATGTGAACGAGTGATCCCTCGTCCTTCTAACATGAATGTATGGTCCGGCACAATATCGCTGGATGGAGGCACACAACTCCAAGGTGAGCCCCGCCAACCACCTGGCTACATTCGCCCTATTCATCACCAAAGCTAGGCCTACAATTAATTGACCGGTCGTCAAACTGGCAATCCGACATTGGCAGAGACTCCGCGTTCAGACTTCGCTGTTTCGTTAACCCGTCCCTCATACCACTCTATGCGCGATGTGGTCCCAACCTCGAACTCCACACGAATAGCCCGCAGACCTCGCAATGGCTGAAGGACAAGCTGACGGGCACTATCTGGTTGGAAGATGATGATTTGGATCGGATCCAGACCCTACAATCCCCAATTGGGCTGCTCGTGGGGATTGACAATGATGGGCGGACAAAGCCCTCTGAAACCAACACGACCGATCTCTTGATACATGGGATGTTGTCCATGACGACTTCCTATGAACGACCGCCCACCCCGCCTGTCTCTTCACCGGAGCTAGACCACCAGCCGTCCCGTGTTGTTAGACAAGAACTGAGAATATACGCCACTCCGATCTCTGCACATCTCATTGCCAAAACTCAGTCTCTCCCATCTCCACGAGATACCGATGGCCACGGCCGATCCCCTCAGTTCCTTCTGGACATTCGCTCGCCCAGCCCCAAGCGCAGACGTGTAGCAACGCTCTTTGAATCAGTGGCGCAGCATCATAAAAGGGTACGGCAGAAGGGAGGTGAGGCTGTATCGCAATTAATGGCGCGATCACTTTCCCAGTCGTCTCAGCAACTGCAAGGTCTTCGGGTCAAACGAGAGTCAGAGGAGCCTTCTCTTCCCCAGTTGGACCGGATCGCCTCACAACGGCCCCGGTCTGTATCTATCGGGGCGAATCTCAACTCCAAACTTCTGGAAGCTCGGTCGGAGCAGTCACGGCCTAGCAGCAGACGGGGCTACGTGCGCGAACTGAACTCACGGCGAGGCACGCCAAACCCCTTTGTGGAGTCATCATTACGAAAGGAAAGAGAACTGTCCCCGGAATTACCATCTGAAGGGAAACTTGAGTCTCCAGCTGCGCCCAAGGATGCAGAAACCATCATTTCCGAGAACAAAAACACGATAACACGGACGATCCTGACCTGCATGCGGCTTTATGGCTTCAACCGTGCTACAGCGCGCTCCGCGAGCTCGAGCAGGCCGCAAACCGGGACCGGTAGCCACGATATGGCCCCTGCAAATGGGGAGGATATTTCCAACACCGATGAAGATGAATTCAAGGCCATGTACCATGCGACCTATCGCGCATCGACCTTTGCACTGCGGAAGTATCTGAAAGAGCCGTCTCCAGGCGAAGACGGCTCGCCGAATAAGCCACCACTGTTGGAGAAGGGGAAGGCAATGACGTACATCGATGAGTTTTTGAAACTGTTTTGTGAGGAGAATTGAGTCTGTCTGGCACAGATAACGAGTGATGAGTTACGAAGTATATAGCATAGCGATATTATTTGAAGCCAGGAAGCTATCAATGTTTACCTAAGGTGTAAACCACCTCGTCGCAGCATGGTATACATGCCACAATCAAGGGAATAATCATACCATACTACTTTATGTAAATTGACTTTTAAACATGTAGAATATACAACAACAAAAACACTGCATGACAGATTCCCTCACACATTGAGTCGTAGATAGTAGATAGCACAGATCGGGCAGGTGATTTTCCGGTCCCGGCACTGCATCATCGCCGGCTTCCCCGAACAGCTCCAACCAACCCGCCGATCCAGCCATACGGTGATACCATCTTCAGTGCTGGCACACATCCCATCTCCTGGAATCGAATCTCACGCATACTAATAATATAACGGTATCACAATGGACGTCTCCAACAATCGTCTTTTCCGCTGGTCTAAGCCAGAATGGCTTAACAACTCCGCCGTGCGCAACGCAGGCGTCTACACCTCCGGCGCACTGGTAAGCAAGCTCCCATCGTCACCACCACCATCAAACAACACAACCCACTCACATGGCAGTAGTTCTCCCTGGGTTTCTTCTTCCTCATCGACGCCGCCGCTTTCTCCCACAGCGCCCGCAACGGCTCCTTCGTGCACGTCAAGTTCGTCGACTGGGTTCCCGGTATCTGCTCCGCGCTCGGAATGCTCGTTATCAATTCGATTGAGAAGTCGCGTCTTCATGCCGATAGCTTCAGTTATAGTGGGAGTGGGGTTGCGTGGAAGGCGAGGTTTGTGCTGTTCTTGGGATTTGCGTTGCTCGCGGGTGGATTGGCTGGGAGTGTGGTTAGTATTTACCTGCATACCTACCCTACCTTGTTGCTCTATTATCTGTTGTTTGGGGTATTGGGGTTGCTGGAGTGGAGTGGAGTGGAATGGCTAACTGATGGGAATATAGACGGTCATGGTACTTAAGTACCTGATCCAGGGATATCCCCTTCCGACACTTTACTTTGGTATTGCGAACGTTATTGCGAATGGACTGGTTATGCTGAGGTGTGTATTTCGTCATATGTCTTTGTTGGAAAAAGGCAGTGCAGGAACAGGCTTGCTAATGAACTCTGCGATTGCAGCACCATCGTCCTATGGATCTCCCAGAATATAGAAGACGACTACACCTACAACCTTGCTCTGTGATGGATGGATATACCATATGAGATGAGATGGGCTATGGTTATCAGGTGTTTAGTCGTGGTACGTGTTTTGTCGACTGATTGATTGGTTGGCTGGTATGAGACGAAAGCGATTCTTACTACTACTCCGCGACGTATTATTGTATTATGAATGTGCGCTTCTTTTGTGGTCGGTCTTTACTATTGCTTCTCGTTCCTTGATGGAATCATGGAGTTCAGTTACTCTTTACGAGGGTTGTCGTGTTGTTGTATAAAGCAATGTCCGCATTGTGTGGTCTGCATTTTGTGCTTGTTTGGTTATTAGGTAGTTCTTCCTTCTTTTAGCATGCTTGTTATAAATGATGATTATGGATTCCTTTTTGTGGATTGGAGTTTTCCTGTAGTTCATTGAGGGTAGAATGACGATCCTTTGCGGATTCTGATAATAGGCATCCATATAATAACCTCCGGTGTTGGTTATAGTAATGTACTACGGCAGGAGCCTAATCAATTAGTACACGCGTTGCCAAGATAAGGTTAGCTATAGTTGGGGATCTCAGGCAACAAAGTAAACTAGTATCCTATCTTATGAACATAATTACAGGCATCCAATGTTTATGTGGTATCATGTTCAATGTTTATATATTTCTTGGCATAGGCATAGGGCGCATGTCATATCAAAGTAGCGCAGGGTATCTAATTCCAGGCAGCCATGTGGACTGCCAAGAACGGTAAATCGCATCTAGCTATGCACCATGCTCCATCTGATCTGTTTCGGATCAAGTGGGGTGAGAACCCTCCCATAGCTTCTGAACCGTGAGCCTCAACATGGTGGCGGGTGCCTATCACGGCATGCCATCATTGCGCCAGAATCGTCGCTCAACTTTGTCCAAGTCGACTGCCTAGCCCAGCCACATCATACCGGGGAAGATCATCCCTACGTATACGCGCAATGCACGTATGCCTCGAGGGCTCTGCTCTTGACATCGGCCACGTGCTAGCCAGATGACGACGAAGTAGGCTCGCTAGGCTACAGCATCCTATCAACAGTACATCTCACATATGTCGATTTGACTTTTCTTCAAGCAGAAGCCTCGACCTTGTGAGCACGGAGCTTGTCCATGAGCGCATCGACGGCATCCATGTCTCCAGCGTCGATCTTGTCACGAGAGTAACCCTCGGGGAGACTCTTAGTCACCTCGTCCATGGAGGGCTGGTAGTTGCGGACTGCCGAAGAGATAGCGTAGACGGCCTTCTTGCGAACAACGGGAGTGGTGTCCGTGGTGGCAATGGTGACGAGCTTCGGAAGGGCGTTCAAGACGATAAGCTATTGTGGGATATGTGTTAGTTTTGTTTGGAATTTCAACAGAAAGGGGACAAATAAGACATCAATAACATACCTTATCCTGCGACTTTTCGTTGTTCTGCACAGCCGTACCAATGCACCACGCCGCCATGCGACGCATGTCCGGTTCGTTGTGGTCAAGCAGCTCGACCAGAGGGGTCCACAGACCCAGAGGCTCCAGGTTGTTTGCGTTATCGATCGACTCAATGAGCTGTTCGAAGTTGTCAAACGCGATCAGCTTGTTCTCCAGGTCGACTTCATCGGAGCGGAGGGCTTCCATGGCGGCTTTCATCAGGTCGGCTTCGGAGGGACCACCGAATAGCGTGGAGAGCATCTGCGGCGTGAGGCCGCGGGAGGGATCGGCGGGGGCATTGTTGCCAGAGTCGTTCTTATCACCGGAGGCTTGCTCCTCGGTAGCGGCCTTGATACTCCATTTAAGGAGACTGTTCATGTTGGGGTCCATGGTGTTGATGTGGGGGGTTGGTTCGGTGGTGGAGAGTAAAATTTGTGTTGGAGTTGGCGAGGTGTCTAAAAAGCGGTTGGGGGTTGTTGAAAAAGGACAATAGGCAGAAAGTAAGATTATGTGAATTGTATCAATCACTATGAAATGATCTCTATAGCAAGAATATGGTGGTGGATGTGATTGTGCAGAAAGATGCGCCGGCGTTCTATGAAGGTAAAGAAAAAGCGTGACGTTCTGGACGAATCGAGAGGGTTCATGCGGCTCCGACGGCCTTCCACCTCCTTCCACCGCAACGCTGACACTCAAGTCTGCGGGAGAAGGGAACAACAATTGCAGTCCTCTTTACTTTTACTTGACAGAGCCATATGCTGTATCTGCATGGATCCTCATACTGATAGTATCTTCTCTGTATAGCTGGCTATCTTGATCAAATCAAGACCAGCCAGCGGCGCTGCATTGTACCCCGCCATGCTCGGATAACCCCGCGATGCGGTCATACATGCCCGATATGCAGTGACTTCTGGCTGCTGTTCACCGACCGAGACATTTCTGCGCGTGGCACGAGGATACCGTTGGATGACCATGCATTCTTCACTGGTCTGTACCGCCAATGAAGATCGGCTTACGAAGAATCAACGCGGCCCTTATGCGATTGACATTCCATGGGGCGGGCATCAGTTCTAGCTAGGCTTTCTTCTTCGAAGCCCCCATTTTCGGGGGCCCGGTGGGAAAACGGCGGTAAAGAAATCTGACAGCGCATAGGAATTGACCGGAATCGAAGGGCATCAGTCGATCATTTCTACCTGACGTGGAATTAGGGATACTACAGATATGACGGAGTACGGAGAGAACAGCGGACAGGGAGACGATCAGGCAATTGCATTATTAAACTAAAGAGGATACAAATTCAGGGATAAGAAACGGCCACGCTAGAGGCTAAGGAGACACGAACGAGGGGCAAAAGAGTACGAACCCCTTAAAAGCCGGACAGACCAAGTGGTTCAGATTTAGTGAATTGGGGGGGGGGGGGGGGAAGGATCCAGAAGCCTGAAGTTTGGACCGGTCGGGCTATGGTCGTCGCCCATTCTCAGCTCTTGGTTGTTCCCTGGCCCGTCGGCTCCAAGGCGGGCAGTGCTATTATTATCCAGTCGTGGGTAAGCTAACGCTGTAGGCTATCATCATCACTATCATAATCATCATCATCGGGCCATGATTATTATTGTTCCAACCTTGTTCAGTGGTACACATTCGGGCTGAGCCATCGACGGCGGCAACCCTGGGTCGGGTTCAGCCCCACGAGGGTGCGCAAGTGTTTTTGCCATCGTGATTATTATTTCCCTCCTTCTGGTTTTCCTCCTGCCTGCTCTTTCTCAGCCCTTTGGAAGGGCCACCTCAACGGAATGTCCGGGTGAGAGGAACAGTAAGGGAAGACAAGTTGATTGATTGTAGGAAGGCCACAATCATTCTGCCTGGAGGCAACCATGGTGGGAAGGTTGACATCAGATTGGGTGTATATAAACAATGGTGGAAGAGTACATCCACGGAAATGCATACTTCCATAACCACCATTATCTATCTCTTCCCTCGTTCTCTAAATTGACTTGATATACATACATCAGATCTCTCTATCTCTCTCTGGCCAGATAGTACTTCTCAGCGTTAGCAACAAGTACACGTTCTGGTCCCCCTTTAGCGCCCTGAGTGTATTAAATTACCCGCTTACCTGACGAGCGGTACTCGGCGTGAAAGTGTGGCGGTGACAGCACTGGGACTAAACGGCACTAGTGCTCCCGGCGGTGCAATCAACGTTGCCGAAATACCCGGACTAGACTCGGAAAAGCCTAGAGTGGGATCCACTTCACCCCGCCTGATCCAGTCCAACCTCTCCCTTTTTCGCGGTCATTCCCCCTCCCCCTTAAGTTGGTGTGTATCTGGCGTAAAAAAGGGACCTTCCAGACTGGTTGGAAGAACGTTGACTGGTGTGTATTGCCTCTCCCCTTTCAGGTTTCCTGGTCTTGTCTTCCTCCATCCGTGACTCCGTATTCGTAGAAGTGGTGCCTGCTGGAGACTTCATTAATTAAAATTGGACTTTTTTTCGCCCCCTAATTGACCGATCATATATAGTTACTATCTAAGATACTTGGAGCAGCGAAGTTAGTATGTGCTGACTGACTATCGCATTTCACCCCCTCCCCCTACTGAGTACGTACCAACCAGTCAATCTGACCAGAACCAAACCAGACCAGACAAAACCAAACCAAACCAAACCAGACCAAACCCAACCTGAACCAAACCCAACCAGGCCAACCCGCACCCACTCTTGCTTTCCACCACCGCCGACTCCCTACTAACCCGACGGCCTCCATCACTTTCCACTCCTCCCCCCGTTTCCTCCCTCTCCAACCTACTTACCTCAACTCATCCCATCTCTCTTGAACTTACTACTTCCCTCTTCTCTTTCCCGTCACTCCTCCCTTCCCATCTCCATCTCCATCCTACTCTTCTCTTTCTTCTCTTCGTCTCTTTTTTTATTCCCCGTAGTCCGATTCTTAATCCCACACAGTCACCATGGAAGGTAAGGGCTTCCTGCCACCTTGCGTCTTGCTCGCTTCCCAAGCTTGCTCGCTCCCCCTCCCCCCTCCGTTTACCCCCTCAACGCCCACCTTTACAACTTGGCTAACATCTAATTTTTCCACCATCTAGAGGAAGTTGCTGCTCTCGTCATTGACAATGGGTATGTTACTCTGGGTTTTCGATGATTCTGGCGATGGATTCGTCCTGCTTGTTGTGGTTTCTCGCCAAGTCCAGGGGAGATGGTGCAAAACATATGTCCCCTTTTGGGGCTTGGTCGCGAAGATGAGCTTGACTGGGATTCTCGCTGGCATTACTTGCCCACTCCCTCTGGCGCTTCTGGCAAGAAACTGGGACAGCTCGATCGACTGGCCCGCGAGGCTGTGGTTTGCTCGATTATACTGACTTCTGTGTTCTCAGTTCGGGTATGTGCAAGGCCGGTTTCGCCGGTGACGATGCTCCCCGTGCCGTCTTCCGTAAGTCAACCCCCTCCTTGTTCACTGTGCTGGACGTTCTACCTACTGGCTTGATGGATTCTTCCCGCTCTTTCATGGCAATTGCCACCCATTGCGTCTTCGCGCCGGGCTGCTAGCTCATGTGGGGGCGGTGAATTACCCGCCATGTCAGCACCAGTTCGAATAGTGAACTAACGTGCGGTACAGCCTCCATTGTCGGTCGTCCCCGTCACCATGGGTAAAGCTCCCCTTTGTTCTCTCCTAATTGGCCTGCCAGGCTGGTTGATCAGTTATGTCTAATGCCGCCCACAGTATCATGATTGGTATGGGTCAGAAGGACTCCTACGTCGGTGATGAGGCACAGTCCAAGCGTGGTATCCTTACCCTCAGATACCCCATTGAGCACGGTGTCGTCACGAACTGGGATGACATGGAGAAGATCTGGCACCACACCTTCTACAATGAACTCCGTGTCGCTCCTGAGGAGCACCCCGTTCTCTTGACCGAAGCCCCCATCAACCCCAAGTCCAACCGTGAGAAGATGACCCAGATCGTCTTCGAGACTTTCAACGCTCCCGCCTTCTACGTCTCCATCCAGGCCGTTCTGTCCCTGTACGCCTCCGGTCGTACCACCGGTATCGTTCTGGACTCTGGTGACGGTGTTACTCACGTCGTCCCCATCTACGAGGGTTTCGCCCTTCCCCACGCCATCTCCCGTGTCGACATGGCTGGTCGTGACCTGACGGATTACCTCATGAAGATCCTTGCCGAGCGTGGTTACACTTTCTCCACTACCGCTGAGCGTGAAATTGTCCGTGACATCAAGGAGAAGCTCTGCTACGTCGCTCTCGACTTCGAGCAGGAGATCCAGACCGCTTCCCAGAGCTCCAGCCTCGAGAAGTCCTACGAGCTTCCCGACGGTCAGGTCATCACCATCGGCAACGAGCGTTTCCGTGCTCCTGAGGCTCTGTTCGCTCCTAGCGTCCTGGGTCTGGAGAGCGGTGGTATCCACGAGACCACCTTCAACTCCATCATGAAGTGTGATGTTGATGTCCGTAAGGATCTGTACGGCAACATTGTCATGGTATGTTTTCAGCCTCCTTGATGCGTATGAAGTTGTCCTGATCACTAACACCCCCCTTAGTCTGGTGGTACTACCATGTACCCCGGTATCTCCGACCGTATGCAGAAGGAGATCACTGCCCTTGCTCCTTCTTCCATGAAGGTCAAGATCATTGCTCCTCCCGAGCGCAAGTACTCCGTCTGGATCGGTGGTTCCATCCTGGCCTCCCTCTCCACCTTCCAGCAGATGTGGATCTCCAAGCAGGAGTACGACGAGAGCGGTCCTTCGATCGTCCACCGCAAGTGCTTCTAAGGTATGTGCTGGCCTTCCAGGGATCATGTCAGATCTTGCTAACAGAGTTTCTATCTAGCTCTTGCGCGTGATCCGTTTCGTACTCTCGTATTCCCCCATGTATTAAAAAGCCCGGAGACACTGGTGACTTGCGGGCCTCTCTGACTCGCACTAGGAGGAAGATCGCCTGAAAAAGGAACTTTTATTTTAGCTGTGGAATAGAGAAGGTTTTATTTTTTTTTTTTTTTGCAAACGCGTGTCACTACGGCAGCAGGCCACTTTTGTGGCGGCAACGAGTAAGAAAACCGGAGGGGCACGAGAAGCGGTGTAGGCGAGGGAATGTATATGGGAAGCTCTTCTTTTCCTTCAAATGTTCGACCTCGTGTTTGGCTCCTGTTCTCTCCTGTTGGGCCCGTTTCTTTGCCATTCTCGCCTTCGGGCTGGTTATAGCTTAAAAATGCTGCTGCGAATGTCGATCTTCTGTGGATGAGCCGGTCTGCTTTTTATCTTTTGTTTTCCCTTTCTTGATTCCTGCCTGCCCATTGAGCTCGTATGACTATCTATGACCTGGTGTCTTTTCACGGCCTCAACTTGGACTCTCCGTAGGATCTCTCATCGTA